CGGTAATCACATGGAAGCCTGGTGAGCGAGCCTCTAGGAACAGCCGGGCCAGGGCCAGAGTCACTCAGCGAGAGCTCAGGATAACTGCCCGGGTCAGCGAGGTGGGGCCCCGGGGGTTGGAGCCCCGAAGGCCATTCCAGAGGGAGCTCCAGAACTCTCTCCTCTGGGGTGACATCAGTAATGTCCCAAGACACTTTTGACCCTCCCTCCCAGGGATGCCTCATCAAAATGGGAGCAGAGGCACAGAATCAATGAATCTGGACTTCAGTGAATTAATAAATTTGGGCTCCCTGGTTTCTCAGAGGCATCCGGGCCCTAAAGCCTCTTGCAGCTTGTACTAGAGGTTCCAACCCTCAGAGGGCAGGTAACTCCCAAGGCTATGAATGCCCCCATGCTGCCCCAAGTTTCCCACCAGCCTGGGAGTCTGGCCACACCAGAGAGTCCCTCTCCCACCTTTCCCCACAGCTGGGATTCCTGGGCCTCAGTGTGGCTCCTGATGAGTCAGGGGTCCCAGGCCCAAATCAGACAGACACCCAAGGCTGGAGAGGAAGGGACAACAATGCCCCCATCTTCAGATGAGCGTCTGCAGGGCACCCTGGAAAAACACAGCAAAGTCAGGACAAAGGCCAGGCGGCAAAGCTAGCTAGTGCACACTTTCAAAAACCCACGTAGAAGAGTGCGTAAATCTTATGTGCAGAGCACAATGAATTTCCATCCAACTAGATCAAGTTACAGACCAGTGCCAGCATCCCAGGGAGCCTGCTGATATCTAAAAGTTAATTTTAAAAGTATGGTTTTGTGAATGGGTGAATCACTAACCTGACTCAAAATTCAAAAGGAACAAAAGGGTATAAGATGAACATATTTTCCCTGCCCCAGATACTCAGGATCCCTGCTCAGCTCACCTAAGGGATCTGAGGTCAGCAGGACCTCATAATGGACAGAGGAAAGCAAAGCCAGGCTCTCCACGTCTACAGCCCCAGTGAAGGGTGGGAGAGGGTGCAAGTGGCTGGAGCGGGGGCAGTGTGCCCAGGGACAGAACAACCCATTTTCATTAGATAGCGCTGGACTTCACTGAGTCCTGCCATCCTGGAAAACAGTGAAGGCTGAGAGCCCCTCCCTCATGTTCTGGATCCAGCTCACAGGAGAGGAGCCCCTCCCTCTACCACTAGGACACTCTTGTTTATGTCCCCATTTACGTGTGACCAGGCCAGACACAGATCCTCACATTCCCTCTGCACCTCAGCAGTGATGAGCTGAACTGCCCATCCCACTGATCCATAGGAACAAAATGCTCATTCACCAAATTTTGGTTTGGCTTCTCTCCTTCCCCAGAACCCTGAACTTGCCCCCCTCAGCCTGGGCCAGCCTGAGCCCAGCCCCTTCTGCAACAGGTTGGCCTGGGAGAAAACCTTCTCTACCCAACACCCTCCCAGGTGCCCACCCCACACCCACCCTGTTCAGTCTCTGTAGAAGAGAGGCCCTTTGCCAGACCCCAGATGCCGCACTTCTTAGGTCAGAGCAGTGTTCTCTCGATGGCGATGGCCCATGCCCTTTGCAATAACTCTTTCCAACAAAGTCTCCCCTTACTTGGTCCAGATTTGGTTTATATTTGGCAATTCCATCCCTGTGGGATTCGCAGCCTAACTCTAGGGACTAAGCCAAGCCCAGAAATAAAATAGAAGCAGCTTTAATGGAACAAGTGGGAACTCAAGGCTTCCTCTCTGTGGCTCTTTGAGAAGTAGGCAGGGCTGCTGTCCCATGAGGGTGTCAGAAACCTGGAGAAATGTTACTGCAACTAGAGGAGAGGGTTGGGGACAGCTGTCATGTCCAAGGACGCACAGAAGGACAGACTATGGCTCTTTGGAAACACTAGTTAAACTCTCACCGACTAGAGAAATCAGCTTTGTTGGTTGGGCAACAGCGTGAGTGTGGTACAATGCTCTCGAGGTGAAGAGCTGCCCCCTGCAACCTCACTGCAGCCTCAGGCAGGGAGACTGAGTCTAGCCCCTAGTCTCCCACATGCGTTTCTCAACCTCAAGTCGGGCAGGAGCTGCCAAAGGGATTGAGGCCTCTCTGAGAAGTTCAGGACTCCATCGAGCACGGGGCAGCCACTGCCTGTCAGAGCTTGGAAGTGTCGGGACCAGGCTTGGAAGGTGATCAGGCAGGACTCATGCTTTGACTTTGGGTCCTGGAGCCTCACTTGGAGGAGTAAGAGCCCTCCTGGAGGCCACGTGCCATTCCACAGCAGCCTGCATAGAGGTCAGTGAGGGAGAGGAACCTTCTGTGCCCCTCTTTGACTCAAGGAAGCTGGTTGATACCAGTTTTGTGAGTGGCCTGTTCACCCGGGGCATTTTATGTGATTTAAGCGTTTAACTTTAATTGCACAGTTGAGTTCCTACTTGCAGAATTATGTCACTCCTTGGCTGGAAGAGAAATAACTGAGTCTTGCTGAAACTGGACCCCACGTAATAAAATGGGCAGCACATAACCTGTTTGGCGTGGGCGTGCACACAGGGGAATTTAGAAGTTTCTGGCAGGAGACTGAAGGTGTTCAGGCCCCATAGATACCACTAGCCTCAGGCAGTCCCCATCCTTATAGACAGCGGCTCTTGGGGTGAGGATCTGCTGCTTCCACTGGGAACTGGACCAACGATGACTTGGACCCTGGTTTAGGGCCTCCCCCACTGTCCTGATCTCTGGAGGTTGTTCAGAGATCAACAAGGACTTATGAACTCTAGAGGCTGGAGAGGTGTCCTATGTTTAAGATTCATAAAAGGGGTCCTGTGCAGAGGTAGGGGGTATGACCAGAGGAACTCTTGAGGTGGAAGCATTGATTCCTTCCTGGGGTCCGGGGACATCCCCAGGTTTCTGAGCTTTCCCTCTTGGCCATTCCCACAGCCTGCCCTATCCCACTCTTGCTGTCGTTCTAGCTAGTTGCATGGGCAAAGGTGGCTTTGCAATGCCAGAGGGTCCTGCCTCACTGTAGATAGCCACCAACCCCCCTCCACTGGTTCCACACATGTACATGGCAAATTTGGTGAGCCCGGTGAACTTTTCTAAGAATATGGGGATCACAGGAAGTCTCCTCCTGTTGCAGCCACCATTCCAGTCTTGCCTCCCCCTTCCCCTTCTCCAAACACACACATTCTTCTCCATGCATGGTGGTTGAGTAATTGTAGGCTGTTGCTTGACTGTGCTTCTGGCACCCCTACCCTGTGGACATTTTTGTCTCCCCTCCAATTCCTTCCTCTCCTCTGTCTCAAGCTCTCTCTCACCCCTCCCTTCTCTCTCTACTCCCCTCTCAAAGGAAGAGCTGGGACAGCTCTGCTCTGACCACATGTGTAGGGTAGGTTGGTCGGGTTGGTTTGAGAACTGTCCTTTCAAGTGTCCAGACCCTTTTCCATCAGCAGCTGTGGAAGGAAAACTCGTCCCAGAACTGGGGAAAGGGCTGGCTGCAGGGTCTAGCCAGGTCTACAGAAGTCACGATGAGGTTCCCAATCTTTCACGCCTTTTTTATTATGTTTCCCAAATGTTTCCATGCCAACAGAAGTAGGATTTTTTTTTTTTTTAAATCCTCACTCAAGGGTATTTTTTCCACTGCTTTTCAGAGAGAGTGGGAGAGATAAACATCGATGTCAAAGAGACACATCGATTGGTTGCTTCCTGCACACGTCGCGATGAGAGCCAGTTTGCAACCCAGGTATGTGCCCTCAACAAGAATCGAACCCGAGACCTTTTAGTCCGTGGGTCGACATTCTAACCACTGGCAAGACCAGCTAGGGCAGAAGTAGGATTTTAACACACTTCTCAGTGCATTGTGATCTGTAAGTTCAGCCAAGCTTCTTGGAGTTCTAGCAGAAAGTGGATGCTTAGGTAGACTAGGCAGGAGTGAGAACCATTGTGGGCACCGCACCCACTGGGGGCGTGGGTGCAGCCAACACAGGCAGGCTTCCATCAGCCCTGCCCAGGCAGCCCCCTGCCCACTAGGGCAGTGCAATCCCACCTCCTGCCTGTCAGCTCCATACCCCGCGCAGCCTGCAGGGGGCGGAATTCCTCCATGTGCTCATTTGGGGGCCTGCCTGGTTTTGGGGTCCAGTATGCAAGGGTGTACTTGGTGACCAGGACCTGTGAACTGTGGTATTCTCACAAGTGGTGGCAGCACTGAGACCTGGTGCCCAGAGGGCCTCTCTGTACACTGCAGGTGGCTCTAGGCAGTACTTCCTGCCCCAAACCGGTCTGGTGGCCCCAATGCCTGGAGTAGAAGCCCCCTTCGTGGGCCCCCAGGTCCAGCCTTCCTGCACTGGTGCCCCTGGCCTGGGCTCACTGGACAGTTACTGTGGTTGGTCCACTTACCCTCACTGTGCAACCCTGCCACACCCTTCCCATCCCAGCACACCCACACGCCGCCTGTTCTCAAGGCCCCTGACAAACGCCAGTGCTTGGAATGGAGTTTGCTGGAATTGAGCGAGAGCTGTTCGTGGAAGAGCTGGTGTGGAGCTCAGCCCAGTCCACCTTGAGACCAGATACTCTCAGGGATGTCCTGGAAATGAGGAAATATACTTTCCCCTTCCTCCCAGCCCCAAGCTGGCATGTTTCCTCCCTAACCTCCTGGTGCTGGTCTTGGCAGCAACCAGTCACCTGAAGGCCTGTGGTCAAGTTCTTCCCACCTCAGGGCCTGGAATAGTCCTTCCACTCTCCTCCCTGGTCTCAACTTCGATGCCGCTTCTAAGAGGTAGACTGAATTCTCAGACTCCTGCCTCCCTCCCAGCCTTCACCACCCATTGAGTATGTGATCAGGGGCTATGGCCACCTTGTTCGGCCTCCAGGGGGTTGTATCAGTTGTTTGGCTCTCAGAATGAATGAATGAGGTAGGCCAAGGGGCACACGACCAACCCTCTCCAGGGGAGTCATCCCCAGGGACATTCCTACTTCCAGAATGTGGTGCTGAAGGAAAGAACACGAAGGCCACCAGCAGTACTTATAATTCTCAGTTTTTCTTTGAAAACAATCCCCCCTCAAAAAACCAGAACTCTCACCCCTGACCAGCCAAGTGTTACAGACTAGCCATTAATACGAGGAGAGAAAGAGACATTGAAGCCACAGACATCATTACATGGTGGTCTTCCAGCCGGGCCGATGACAATGTCACAGTGACAGTATCGACGTGGCAAGAGACACCGACAGGGACACAAAGACAGCAAAAACATGCCGGAGAAGCTGGGCTGAACTGACCCTGCAAATAAATAAACATGGCACAGACGGCATCCCCTACGTTAATTATTGAGACCTCAGGACAAAGTAGAACAGCAGGACACCTGAACAAATGCTTGCTGGTTACGCCAGGGTTTGGTTAAAAAAAAATTAACCCCCACAAATGTGAGCGCTTGGGACACTTGTCAGTAGTGGTCAGAAAGGGCAGAGTCTGTCTCCCCTGATGCCAACATAGCAGGACCCGGGGTCCTGCAGGCAAGCACCTCGGATGTAGCCCCAGACAGTCCCTGCCTTCTGAGGTGGGTCCCTGGGCTGGACTGAGTTGGGAAACACAGCCCCAAGAATCAGACTGAGTCCCCCAACCCACCTTTAGCAGAGGTCCCAGCACCTGAGACAGGGGCCTAGAGGAGGGCAACCTGACCTTAGCTGATGGTGCTCCCCAGGATGGCTTCCTGGATATAGTGACAGCTCAGGAAAGCCAGCTGGTGGCCAGATGTGCTAGCTGGGCCTCAGCTGGCTCCCTCGGGGAAAATACCATGGGAGCCACAAGGACAAAAGCCTGCTAGCACAATCTGTCTGGAGAGGAGGGTAGGCATGCTATGTTGGGAGCCAGACACTGGAGAGTCAGGGTGGCTTCCAGAGCAGGTGCTGAGTTGGAGCAGCGAGGAAGGCTTGGCTCCATCTTCTGCTGATTGGAATCGAGTCTGGGATAGGCCATGTCACCGGCGGGAGGGGATGATGGTGCCCTGGCCAGGAGCTGGAAGCCAGCCCGACAGCCTTTTGGGGTTGCCACCCAGCCATCGAGGCCAATTCTGCAGACCCTGGGAGGGGCTGCCTTGGGGGACCTGAATGAGAAGCCCATCAGGGGTCTCAGCATCTGCCTTCCTGTCGAATCTCTAGGTCTCGAGCCTGGGGCTTTGTCTGAGAGAACCGGAGTTGGCTCCCCAACTAGATGCAGAACAGGTCAGGAGGCAGCATTAACTGCAGGCTAGGCCTGATGTGCCGCCCACTGCCTGCCCACAGGAGATGCCCAAATCCTCCTGCCTTGGTGCTTTTGCTCAGGCTGCCATACAGGGCAGGAAGCAGTCAGGAGCCCCATGGCATCCTGAGTGACCAGGTTCTAGCCCAGAAACCGGCCCTGCTCTGCGTGTCTGGTGGGAGCTCCAGGATCATCCAGACGCCTGTGACCTCTACCAGGAGCTCCACCAGCCACAAACACCAGGCACAGGAACTGGCTCTTTCTGTGGAGCTGGGGCTGGCATCAGAATCAGCCCAAGTCCTAGGTTCTCCTACAAACCTCTCCAAAGACAGCCATTTCACTGAGACTTTCTCTTCTTTCTAGGGGTCAGGGAGAGATGGATCTACCTCAGGGTTAGTTTTCCCAACGTCACTACATCTATTAACAAAAAAAACAAGGAAGCCAAGCACACATCTGTCAGTGCAAGTCTGCTATCCATACAAGGCCCAAGTCTCAGTAGCTTATTGGTAGCTGGAGTGTTCGGCTCTCAGAATTCCTCCCAACTCGAGACTGTGCCTGAAGCTGGCGCTGGGGGTCATACCCAACGACAGGCCCTGGTCCCTGAGGCACATCCTGCTGCTGGCAGTGATAAGGGACAAGATTTTCCCCACCTGCCCTCTCCGCCATTTCTTTAAAAAATAATCATCTTGGTGGTGTCAACCTGACCCAAAATTTAAGTTAAAAAAATAATACAAATAAACAAAGGTGGGAAAGGACAAGGGCCCAACACGGCAAAAAGTCCACGATCGGTCAGAAGGCCCAGCCTCTTCTCAGTTCAACATTCGTGCCTCACACTCTTGAGGAGGTATTGATAGAAGTTCGTCTTCTGGGACTAAGTTCGTACCAGTTTTCACAGTGGCCCTGGCACCCGACCTGGTGGAGGGAAGGTGCCGGGCGCTTCGCTGAGCTGCCTGGATGACGGAACGGGTGGCTTTTTAGGTGGGTGAGTTGTTTTAAAATGATCTTTGTGCGTTTCCGTCTGCCATCTTCCTGGCTCTTCTCTCTTATGTCTCCTGGGGGACAACTTGCAAGAGCTTCTGGCAAAGGACTGTCGTCGAAACTGCAAGGGAGGGGAGAGCAGAGTCACTCGGGGGTCATGCAATCACAGGCCTGGGGGGCCCGGGGGCAGCAGCGAATACCGTGAGCTGCAGTTTACCCAGCCTCACAATACCACTTCCATGGTTGCAAGAAAAGCCAGAAACCCAGAACTTTATGTGAAACCTCCCAATCTGAAAATACGTACCCTGAACCCAGGGGCCTCCCTCCTGGTGGGCACCAGCCTTCACTCCAGGTTAGCAGCAGAGATGCTGTACGTCTTCCAGTGACTTTTTGTAAGTCACCCTGGGGGGTGTGGCCAAGAACTTGGCAACGGGCTGGGCACTGGCCCTGCTCCCCACCCTGGGGTCATGGGAGCAATAGTGGGCTAATAAGTCCTGATGCTGAGGGACTGTTGGATGGGCCCTTCCCATTTGCTCACACCAGGGCCATCACCTGGCAGACACCCAGGTTGCCCACCACTACTTGATGACAGCCACATGCCTGCGGTCCTGCAGAGGGGATGGGACAGGTGGATGTGTGCCTGGGGCCCAGATAACACTCTGTGGGGAGTGATTTAAGGACAGAGGGCCCTGCTTTAGGGGCTGGGTGTGTTCTATAAGATGGTTAATAGGGAGCCTAGTCTGGGCTGGAGGCTAAGGTCTGCTGAAATGTTTTAGTCACCGGGCAGGTACCAATCAGAATTCAGAGACGGCCATTCTGGGGCTTTTACAAGCCACCCAGGACATGGTAATTGGGTGCAGGCTTGCAAACACCAATGAGTTTTCCAGGAGCCGGTCATATTAACAGCAGCCTCAGTACAGGCTCTTAAACTTGGCTTGTCAGTTGGCCCTGTGACCACAGAGCAGAGATCCTGTTTTCTCCTTCCCTGCCTTTCTAGGTCAGCCTCTGTGTTTAAGCTGGCGACAGGCAGTGGGATTTTGTTACTTGGCAAAAGCAGCCTGGTTTTCTGGAATCCCTTCTTCTGAGATTAGCTGGTGCCAAGCTCAGCGTCTTATCCCTGCAATACGTGGGCCAGACGTCACCAGGCACGCCAAATGCCTGAACTCCTGGCTATGGGATTAGATGAGACAGCAGATAGTGCGCTTGGGGGCAGGGCGCTTGTGGACCCCAGGCAGGGGTGGAGACAGGCCCTGGCTGCCGGGCAGCACTGGGAAGATACTCACAAATGCCCTGGAGGAGCCACTTGGGCTTGTTTTTCCACCAGACTCCAAGGAAGTAGACCGGCAGGCCGCTGAGGATTATGGCAAAGCCAATGCCACATTCCACGGGGGTCTTCCAGAAGGAGACGACAATCAGGAACAGGCAGGCCAGGGTGAAGAACACGGGGAGTGCCAGGTTCACCTGGGGACAGAGGGCGGAGCGACGGGCAGTCGGCATCTCTGGCTCCCTCTCCACAGCTCTCACATCCTGTCATCACAAGTCCTGTCCACCCTGCTGAGAGCGCTGTGTCTGTCCCCACCACCCTCCTGACCTCGGTGGAGTCATCTTCCCCCTTAGGCCCTTTCAGCTTCTCCCATGGGATCCCCCCAGAGCACACCCTGTGCCTCCAGCTCCAAGCCCATTCCTCCCGCCTGGTCCAAGAACCACTCTGACCTCCCAGGGCCATCACTCGCGCCTGTCTCCCTCTTCCAGTATTTACCGGTCTGACTTATGCTGGTTTACTCTGAGTTGGCCTTCCGAGAGGCTGGGGTCTCTGGAGAACTGAAACCTTCCCCTGTTCTCCGTTTACGCAGCGCAAGGCGCCAGGCAGTAATTACCCAAAGCACAGGCGGTGCCGACAGTAAACACAAACAACCAGGTTGGTCCCTCGAGGCTTCCCAAGGTCAGGGGAGGCTGACCTTGTTGGTTCCCACATCACAGGGCAGAAACCGTGGCCCAGCATCCACCTATAGTCACCCAAGGTGGGGGCACTTCTGGGAAGACCACTGCCACCCACTAATAAGTGAGGGGCACCCGCCTTCTCAGAGAGCCTTTGTGGGCAGGCTGACTGCAGTCTGCACAGCCACGGGCAGACGGGCCCAGCCACAGAGTTCAAGGCAGATCAGCCACAGAAATGCCCCCAGCCCAGCCCGACTCCAAAGACCATGTCCTGCTTCTGCATCTGAGTGGGCAGACTTGACCATCTGCCCACATACTGGCAAGAGGCCCTGGGAGATGAAGATTGAGTGACAGCCCACCCTGCATGCCCCTCCTCAGCCCAGGTTGACAGTGAAACAAAGCTCACCATGTGCCCAGGATAACACAGGGACAGAGTCTACCACAGGCACAGACTGACACAGGGACAGGGCCTACCACATACCCAGGTGACATGGATAGAATCCACCATGTGCCCAGGACACAAGGGGACAGAGTCCGCCACAAGCAGGGAGCAAGGCAGTTCAGGGCACTAAGGTTGCCCTGGTACCAAGGAGAACTCTTCAAGGCAGGGTGCTGGGCCCTGCTGGCCCCTGTGGGACTGCTGGGAAGGGGAGACAAGGATGTGGCCTGGGGACAGGTGCCAGATGTGATGGACAAATGCCACTGGGGACCGGACAAGGGACGAGAGCTGCTAGCCAGTGGCCACCATGAGTTCATCTCTCTAACTCCCTGACATGAGTCACAGCTGACATGCTCACTGAGTTCCCCGGCAGGAAAGTGGACTTCACCTTTTTCGGAAAAACAAGGTGACCCTTGGGCAGCTGTTCCCAGGGAATGGGTTAATGAGAAGTGCATTCACCTTAGGCTGGGCTCCACCGGCACCTCGGCTTTCTCCTGGGCAGGCTGCGGCCAGGGCAGGTGCACCAGGCAGTCTAATGCTTAAACTCCTCTCCAATGAGGCAGAGCCCGTCTGGCTGTGTCTATGCCCTGCGGGCTCAGACGTCACCTCCTACCCACTCCACACAGTCTCCCCCTCACACCCTAGGCACTCTGAACATTCATGGCCTCTACATCTCTGCCCACGTGGCATCTTTTCAGGACCACCCAGCCATCCAGGCCAGGAAGGCCCCTCACCCTGCGTGCCTGCCCATCCCCACAGTGCTCATCACCCGACCACTGGGCACTGTAGGCTTCGTATTTATTGCTTCTCCCTCTTGTTAGAATATAAGCTCTAGGAGGACAGGAATTTGGGGGGAGTCCATTTTTTTCCTTTGATGAACCCCAGAACCTGGAATCACCCTCTTGGTAGGTACTCAAAAGGTTCCCAGTATACAGTTATCAGCTGAGTTAACTACCCTCCACGTTTGTTGAGTTTAGAAGCAATCACACGTTCATCTTGGTAGAATCGCACTGAAACTCTCGACAGGAGGCATCTCGACCCCTGGTTCAGAGGGGCGGGGGAAATGGCAACTCAAAGAGGGATGGTAGCTTTCCCAGGCACATGCCGGAAGGGGCAGAACCAAGAAGCTGTGCAGAGCTGGCTCCCCATACAGGGCCCCCAGGGACACTTGGAACCCTGTTTCTCCAGCACATAAAACACCGAGCCCCCAGCCGGCCCTGGGTGTGTGCCAGACCTGGGGCTGCCCGCAATGGCTGGGCCCTCACCTTGATGGGCCGCTCCAGCTCAGGCTTCTTGTAGCGGAGCCACAGCATCCCAATGATGGCCAGGGCCACACACAGCCAGTTGAAGAAGCTGAAGAAGTTGATGACGGAGAAGATATCATTGGAGAAGGCGTATAGCAGGGTCATGAGGCACTGCAAGTAGAAACACAGGGCAGCATGAGGCCTTGCTGGGCTGGGCCGGAGCCAGAGCCAGGAACAGGATGGCCTGCATGACAGAGGCCACCCCGATGCTGGGATTTGTCTGCAGGGGGCTGACAGCACTTGTGCACTCTTGCTTTAAAGGAAGGCCTAGTTTGGGCAACACATGAGTTCTCAGAAAGCAAAGGCCCCACTGAGAGCAGGAACGAAACAGACGCTTAAACCCAACCCTCAATGCAGCATTACTTGTAAGAGCAATGACTGGGAACCATGCTAAGTACCAACCCCGGGGCTCATTTAAATCAGCTACAGACCCCCAGGCCACTGGATACCACAGAGGAGTTTCAAAACTGAGCTCGGGCTCTGTATGGTTTTAAATGTGTCCCAGTATCATCTGGTACTTCTCCCTTTATGAGGTGGAGCTAAGCCCTCTCCTTGAGTTGGGCTATGCTTACTGACTCACTCCTAACAAACAGAACAAGACAGAAATGACAAGTGTGACTCCTGAGGCTACATTAGACACTTGGTGGCTTTCTCCATGCTCTTCCTCTTGGCTCCCTCGCCCTGGGGACAGCCAGCTGCCTTGTTGCCCTGTGGACAAGTCCACATCCAAAGCAACTGAGGCCTCCTGCCCACAGCCACGTCACGTGAGGGGCCATCCTGGAAGCAGCTTCAGATGGGACAGCAGCACTGATCACCATCTTGTTACCACGTCGCGAAGGACCCTGAACCAAGGCCACCCAGCTAAGCTGCCCCCTGTTCCTGACTCACAGAAACCAAGAGACAATGAATGCTTTCCATTTAGGCCACTAAGTTTTTGGGTGATTGGTTATATAGCAACAGGGAACTAATAAAATCGTGTGTCTTGGCATGGAAAGACTAAGACAAGCTGAAGAAAAATGCACACAGTGTGATCTCACTAAAACATACAAACACTGTGTGTGCACGTCACACATCTGTTAACAGGCCACAGGGCACTGGAAGCACGGAGCACGTGAAGCCGCCTGTAGACCACAGCTCCCTGGGAGAAAAGAGCTTCTGCTTCACACATGCTGGACTGTTTGAAGTTGTTTTATAACTACTGTGTATTATTTTTGGAATTAAAAACTTAAAAAAAAACAAACAACCCAGTGCCCTTGTTCAGTGGAGCATGCAGCGAAGAGCACAATACAAGGAAACACTCTGCTAACTTATCTGCATCTTGGTCTCCCCCTTGGTCTGCTGTCTAGCTGATATCACGCAAAGCTGGGAGGGCGTCGTGCAGATGGACCCTGCGGCCTCACCCCCCACCCTGATCTCCTTGCTGCTGCTGGGGGCTCCCGAGATAATATCTGAGGGACACCCCAGTCTTGCACTTTAATCTGCCTGCAATCCTCCCAGGGAAGGGGAGCATCCAACGGTGCCGCCAGCTTACTGTGAACAGGAGGGAGGGCATGGGCGTCAGGAGCCGCGGATGGATCATGGAGAGTACAGAGGGCAGGTGGCCCTCCCTGGACCCCACAAAGAACAATCTGTGGACAGAAAAACAGGTGGTCAGCCTCACCCCCGAGCAACCCAGGCAGGGTGGGGAGTAGAGAGCCTGTGCCTGAGGGCTGCGCTCCCTGACGGGGGCCTCTTGGTGTCCCTGACCGACTCAGCTGGCAGTGGGGAAAACTAGGGGCCTTGCTCACCTCCAGTCCCCCTCCCCCTGGGCAGGGTACACAATGAACCCATGAGAGAGTCTAGAAGGACCCAGCAGTTGTGTGCGTCACTTCTGGGTAAGGGAGAGTCATTGGTTCCTTTATTTCTGTATTACTTCAACATTTTGACAGCTATATATTACTCAACGTAACAAAAAACACACAACTTTTGAAGCTCGCGTTAAAAAGCAGCATGCAGCGCTGGCCCCCCAGCTCAGCCTCCCTCCGGTCCTGCCCTGGTTCCCACAGAGCCTGAGTGTGGGAGGGCGGTCCTGGGTGGGCTCACCTGGAGGACGTGAAGAGGGACCCGTTGACGGAGCCGAAGCAGGACAGGCCCACAAAGACGGGGATGATCCAGGACATGACGCCCAGGTGATAGTTCCCAAAGTCCTAGACAGATGCCGAGCATGAGTGAGCTCGTGCCCCATGACACCAGCACACGGCCCTGACTTCTCCACCCAGACAGGACGCCGTGCTCACAGCCCAGCCGGGCCCAGGCCCAGCCCACTTGTGTGCAAGCCCTCCCGCACACTCCTCACAAGGATCCCGCACACAAGCAACTCCTTGGGGTCTGGACTGTGGGGGGCTGTCCCAGGGACAGGGTCTTCTTTAGAACAGCACTGGAGCCTTAGTCTTAGCCCCACACACTGGCACTTTCCTTGGGCACTCCTCACCCCAGCATTACATCAGGTTGACCAGTTGCCCGGTCTTTCTCCCAATCCACACGGCTGCTCCACAAGGGAACACTTTTTGCTTTGTCTCTGGCTGGGTCCCCATTGCCCGACCCAGAGCAGAGCTCGGTGAGGCATTATTTAGAAGGTGGAATGGGTGGGTGTCGACCCTCAACTGCTAAAATTGCTGGTGAGGACACTATGAGAAGTGAGCCTATAGGATGCATTCAAAAGCCCGCTGGTTCTACTTAGGGCCCCACTGTATTTGGTTTGTGAGGTGGACAAGGCACTCAGCTGCTGCCACCAGGGGGCCTGGGGATGTTGCTCTCCCTCCTCTGAACCCCGTGTCCAGAATGCCCAGCAGAGGTGGCTCAGGATGTATGTGGGCAGTGGGTAGAAGGCCACCAAATTCCTTCCTCCCAGAGCCATGGATGGGGTGGGGCTCCAAGGAGCTCACTCACTTCTTGCCCCAGCACGGGGTGATTTGCAGTGGGTAAGAGTGCAGGTTCCCCAGTGAGTCTGCCTGGGCTCAAATATTGGCCCTGCCACTTACTAGGTATGTGACCTTGGATAAGTGATTCCACTTCTCAGTGCCTCAGTTTCACCCCCTGTGTAATGGGAATGATCCTCATTGTACCTACTGCTTGGAGCTGTTTGTTGATTCATTCAGCAGATCTGTACTGAGTGAGCACAGCCATGCAACAGGCACAATTTTAAGCGCTGAAGGTTCAGCACTGAACAAATCAGAAACCCCTGCCCTCCTGGGCCCACACACCAGTGGGGGAGACAGACAGTGAGCAACTTAATATGAAACTATACTCAACTACTGGTAAGTGCTAAAGAGAAAAAAATACCCAGGAAGAGGTGGGTGAGGATCCCTTTGATCCCTGTGCTCTGGGTTGCAGACCTCACTTACTGGGGACTGGACCTTCCAAATCACCATGATGGACTCCACCCCTCCATACCTGATTTAAAAAAATGACTCAGGCCAGGACCACCGCAGACATGCTGATCTAAAACTGGCCCAGGGTGTGGCCTGGGCATCAGCACTTTCAAAGTCCTCTGCAACCTGGGCAAACCCCGGCAGGTGGCATCTTACCACGGCGACCGCCTCTGACGTCAGCATCTGCTCGGTGGACAGTGTAGTGAAGTAGGCCAGGTTTGTCAGCACGTACACCAGGGTGACTATGGGGAGGGAGATGATAATAGCCAGAGGCAGGTTTCTGGAAGGAATGAAAGGGCATCATCAAAGTGCAGCTCCTGCTGGAATCACCCCGACGGCTCGCCAACCCACAGGCCTGGCCCTGAGCCTCACTGTGCGGGGAAGTGGTGAGCAGAGAGACTGCTACCAGCACCGCTCACTAGCTCTGGTCACCCGCTGGAAGCTGGCACCTGGGGTTGGGCAGCTTTGTGAACCTGGGCTAGTGACTCGACCCCGCCGGCCTCAGCTCCCATCTGGCAAACGGGCATTCCTGCTTATTCTGGGAGGGAATCTTGTTCAAGGTCACACCTTCACCCCAGCATGATCCTAACCCCAAGGCCCCTCCTGAAAGGCCCCTCATTGATTTCACCTGAGATTGGGCTGGGCCCATGGATGAAGTCTGAGGCAGAACCAGCCTCTTCCCTTCTCCCATATTAAAGTAAAATAAAAAAATCTCTCTTCACACACATACCTATAGGGGTTGATCATCTCCTCTGTGACAAAATTCAAGTAATTCCTAGAATTTAGAGAGCAGAGTTTAATTATACATTCTTTCCACATTCATTAGGGGGGAGAAAGAACACAGATTCCATGAAAACCCAGGGCCAGTGGAGAGGGGAAAGGGCGCAATCCTGCTCCCTTGGGAAAAATCCTAACCCCAGCAGGCCCGGCCCCCTCAAACGGCCCTATCCTCTCGCTGACCTGCCTTCCAGCACCTTCACCCCTCCCCCGCCACACGGCAGCCACTCTTGTGGCCCGGCAGGGCAGAAAGCGTGGGGGGAAAGCTGCAGGCAGGCATCCTGCTCCTGGTGAGGAAGAGTAGGAGAACCACCAGGCCCAGCCTTTCGAAGTCAAGTGCTTCACTCCCCCTCAGCAAAAGTTTGTCTACAGGGCCGCCTTCTCAGGAGCCAAGACACTGGGAAAAAGTGCCAGGGCTGCTGCGTTGTCCTCTCCGTGCTTTTCAGGATGCGTCGGGCGCAGGCGGCTCTGAGAGGGTTTCCCGCCACTCTCTAAAGCTGCCCTTGGGTGACTGAGAGATTCGGGTTTCTGGACACCTCAGGGCCTGCTCCATGTGGCCCAAGGCCCAGAGGCCCAGGCATTCTGGAACGTACCATCCGCCATACGCAAAGAGGCCGCTGTACAACGCCAACACTATGTTCCCCACGTCTAGTTTCGTGCCTTCAAATGAGAACTTGGGATCCAGATTGGACACATCACCTGGCAAAGGCCAAACAGACAGAAAGGTGTGTTGCATTAGAGAGTGCTACACAGGGGTCATGCCGCAAGTTCCAGAAAGTTCCTGGAGCAAACTACAGTAATACACGAAACTCCTGGGATGGAAGCTTTCCACCGTGACCAATGAGATGCACCTGCTGCACCACCGACGCACACGTTCGACTTACCCTGGGGCCGGAGCGCAGGCAAGGTGAGCACGATCTTGCTGTGACCTAGAGGAATGTGGCCTTCAAGGGGCCCCCGTTCAGCTGGCAGGGGGATGGCAGCTCTGTAGACCCTTGGCCATTCCGAATGCCAGCAGCCCAGGCAGATGCAGGGACGTGCCAGGAGGGAAGGGCCGATCAGCCCTGGTCACCTCAGAGCATGGTCCCCGCAGACCCCATGACGTGAGCCGCAAAGGTCAGGGGGACCTGGGTTTGAGCTTCACTCTAGCCCTTTGTGCCCAGAGAATCAAGAGCTGCCAAACTCATACCGGGCTGCTCGTGTGTGCGATGGAACTCGTGAATGCTACCTCCTCGTGGCCGCTGAGCACATGACCTGGAAATGACTTAGACCCTGGAACACGGAAGGGACTGAGCTGAACAAGAGGATGGTTCTGGCTGATGGCGCCCTGACGCCAGGAAACTCCCTTCCCCAGGATGGTGCACTGTGAGCGCCTGCTAGACAGGTGTCGGGGGAGGGTGAGCAGGGTGGGTTTCAGCCTTGGTCCTCAATCCAGATGAACAAAGCACTGGGCTCTTGGATATAACAGGGTGGGGTCTGGACGGCAGTCCGCTTCTCTGCTGACCACATGTGACCTCTGTGAGGCCCGCATGTGAGTACCCCGGGGCTGCCCTAACAGATGACCACAAGACTGAGGCTCAGACAACAGAGGCTTCTTCTCTTCCAGTTCTGGAGACCAGAAGTCCAAAATCCAGGTATCACACGGCCACACTCTCTCTAGAGGCTCTGGGGAGGATCCTCCCCGCCTCTTCCAGCTCCTAGGGGCTCCAGGCGCCCTTGGCTTGTGGCTGCATCGCTCCAGTCTCTGCCTTTTTCCTCACACGGCCATCTCCTTGTGTCTCCTCTTCTGTTTCTTATAAGGATATTCGTTGGATTTAGGGCCCACCCTAATCCAGGATGGTCTCATCTTGATCCTTACTTTGATTACATCTGAGACCTTTTTTCCAAATAAGGGCACATTCACAGGTTCCACTGGACATGTATTTTGGGGTTAACCATTCAGCCCAGTATGGTAGACACCGTGAAATGTGGGTGCCTCAGAAAGGTCCCTAGCTACTAGGAAAGTTTGTGGCCCTTTCTGAGGCTCAGTTAGTTCTATCATCTGTAAAATGGTCCAGAAACACTTAGGACCGGAAAGACTCACTCTGTGAGGAGGGGCCAGCCCATCAGCAGGTGCCAGCAGACACATGCCAGGAGTCAGGTGGATAGCTCTCCACTCCCCAGTGATGAGGGTCACCTGGCTCACGGGTTTTTAGTTCCTGGCTCCCCTGGCTCTGGGGGTGGACGTGGCACAGACATGTACCTCACAGGAGGGCTTCAAACAATAGCAAAGGCACCAACAAAGGGACCGGAGGCACCCAGTCACCTCCTGCCCACCTGACATTGGAGGAGTTGAACTCTTGGTCAGGTGCAGACAGTTTGTTAGCTTGGGGACCATTTCTAACCAAGTCTTGTGGCTCCATGTGTGAGGGACTGTGCCCCCATCCTGCTGAGAAGCTGCTGCCCACGTCCCAGGGGCCAACATGGGCCATGGCTCCAGGGCTGATACATGGATCAATGTCACCATTGGCCAGTGGGTCAGCAGGTCCCTGGTGGGGCAGGGGGTTGAGGGGACCCCATGGGGGCCCAAGGTCTCCAAGGGAGCCTATGTCTTCCATGAAGGTGACAGCCTCAGTCACCCTGGAAACAGGACAGAGTGACAGCATGTGAGGTTTGCAAAGAGACCTGTGAAAGGGAGGTTCCCATAAAACCTGTCACTTTACCTAACTGAAGCCTGCACTTCAAAGCAGCGCCAGATTTCCTACAGCAAACACTGCAGTGTT